CCCTTTATTTCCCTTTATTTGTATGCAAACTGAAGACTAGTCTTTTCATATTGACAAGGGGGCATGGAAAGGTTTCCAGAAAGCCAGGGGCTTGCCAGCCACTTTCACCATGCCTCAGTTTTCCCACCCATGATAAAAGGAGCCTCCAGCTGAGTCTCATTTGCTAAGACACTGTCTTTGACTTCCTCCTCCAGGCAGGCAGGCTCAGGGGATCTGCATCACACTGCCTACGGCAGGCACCAGAGGAGTGAATTTTGGTACAACAGCAGCAACCATGTCTTGACTGTCACGTACCCTGGTGAGGAGGGGATGGATCAGTCCTGTGCTGGGACCTATGGCACCCATCAATCACTTAACCATTTGAACCTTAGCTTTTCCCCCTCCCCCCTCTACAAAATGGGAAGGGTGTTGGCATTCCTTACCTCACAGGATTTTTGTGAAGTTTTTAACTATCAAGTGCTGTTTAAATGTGAGCTACTATGATTGTAGGGTTGGCTCTTCCATTTTGTGTGACTGGGCAAATAGGAATGCTTACTATATGTACCCAAGGATCTTTTTTAAAGACCTGGTTTGGAGTGGGAATTGGGGTGGGAGATGCCTTATTTCAGGGGCCGGTGGAAGCCCAGGGTTGTATTTTTGAGCTTAACTGTGGTTAGCAGAGATTGTCTGGACTTGAGAATCTTTTATGTTAAAAGAGGTGAAGAAAATGAGACCCTGGAAAATCAGGAGACAGCTAGATGAAAAAGTGGATAGAGCATGGACCTGGAGTCAGGAAAGGAAGACCAGATCAAATCTAGCCTCAGACACGAGCTGTGTAACCCTAGGCAGGTCACTTAATCTGTCTGCCTCAATTTCCCCATATGAAAATAGAGATAACATTATACCTACCTCATAGGGTTGTTGTAAAGATAAGAGTACTTTGCAAACAAAATGTTATATAAATGCTAGCTATTATTGTTAGGAAAAGGGTTGAAATCTGTCAAGGGTATGATTCCTGGGATAGCCAATGGGCAGGAGGCTGAGTTAGAGAATAAGGTACTTGGAATCAGAAGGCTGGAATCTTGAGAACTCTCCAGGCCCCAGTTTGCCCTCTTTATCGTTTCTAGCCTGGCCTAGCAGCTCCCTGAACACCCTGGTCCACTTTAACTGCAGCCCAGTGAGGACTGTGGCCCACATGTCCCTCCTGTCCACCCACCTGGAGGTCTTCATCCAGACTCCCTGTGCCTGCCCAGACCACTGCCGACTCTGGAGCCCAGAACCCAGCTCCCTCATCGCCATCTCATTCTTTGTGACCCTTGGCATCTATCTCCTCTGGGGTAAATGCTCAGGACTCTCCAGGCTGGGGAGCTTCTTGGGGAACAGAGGGAGGGAGGGTAGCTAGGAAGGCTAAGGAAATAACCACCCTTTCCTATGTGACTTACAGGTGTTTATGGGCTGCTGGCCATCGACACCGACGGAGGAAGTCAGCTCATCCCTCAAGACCAGTTCCAGCACAGCCCCTGTTTCTCTTGCCTTGGGAAATCAGAGGAAGACAAAGAAAACATCCCCCTTATAGGCCTCTGTCCTGGAACTTAGAACTCAGCTGGGACCCTCCTGACCTGGGGTCTCCATTGCAAGGTAAAGAGCCAGATGTGTAGGCTGCAATGGAAGGAGGAGGATGGGGAACTAGATTTGCCTGACCTCAGAGATAATTTGAAGAGGGAGTTGCCTCAAGGGTCGTCAGTCACTGATAGAGAATTGGGGGGGGGATGCAAATTAGGGCCAGCTGACCTTACTGTGGCACAATCCTAACCAGTACATATTGAGGAGCAGGATTTAAGTAATATCTGGAAGGATTACTAGCCCTGACAAGAGACCTACGTCTCTTCCATCTAGGACAGTTTGTAATCTCCTTATTAAACTTCGCTTGGTGGTCTTCGCTTTGCCTCCGAATTCTGAAGTCACAAGCTATGCCTCCCTCAGTCTTGGCTGCTGTCCAGTCCCATCTAACCCAGCGCCAGGATCCTTGGCTCCCAGCCACACCACGTACCACAGCACTGTCATAAGACATCAGGCCAAAAGGCAGGAGAACCTGGCTCTGAGGTCACCTTGGAGAAAGCGTCTTCCTTCTCTGACCCTTAAGTCGCCTCCTGTGCCACACTGAGAGGTCAGGAAGACAGAAGGACCTAGAAAGGAGATATTCTCATCCTTCCATAGAGATAAGAAACATACTTAAGGACTGCCTGGCAACGAGCTACCTAGCAACAGGGGGAGAGGAGCAAGTAAGTATCATGGGAGTAGGAAAGTGGAACCAGGAAGGGGACTAAGGGAGGGAGGGGAATAACAAGTGAAGTAATACTGCTAGGAGGGCCGATGAGGTACAAACCAAGGTGAACAGAGCTGAGGAAAGGAGTGGAGAGGGGTGTCGTTCAATTGTTTCAGTCATGTCCGACTCTTCATGACCCTATTTGGGATTTTCTTGGCAAAGATACCGGAATGGTTGGTAATTTCCTTCTCCAGCTTATTTTACAGATGAGGAACTGAGACAAACAGAATTAAGTGACTTGCCCAGGATCTCACACCTAGCAAGCACCTGAGGCTATATTTGAACTCGGGTGTTTCTGACTCCAGGCCTAGTGCTCTAAAAGCAGGACAGTAGAGGAAAAAGGGTGATCAATCTTAAATTACTGGTATCTATTGACATCAGAGGATTCTTAAACATCTCTGAGACAAGCTCCTGTATAAGGCAGGGGAAAAGAAGGACCTGATGTTCTATGGAGGTTCCTTCTGGTCTTTGACCAGTTTTAGGCAACTGTCTTGAAAACTGATAGCACATGAGAAGGAAGAAAAAGCTAATCCCGAGGCATGTCAGCCTAAAGCTATTGCCCAGCACCTACATTCCTGGCCCACAAGAAAAACAGATTGTGCAGAAGCCAGATTCCCTGAAGACCAGAGACCAAAAAAGAGAAGGAAGAGTGGACAGAGCCTCAAGGACGGCTCGTCCAGACTGCCCCAGGACAGGAATCCACCTCTCTGACACACCTGGGCAATAGGACTAGCTCTGTCTCAAGTCTAGACACGATGCCTGGATAGTGAGGGGCAAGGCTGAATAGGGTCTGGAGGAGTTCAGTCTTCTGTCTGCCATTCCAGAATGGCTGAATCCTAGATCAGCCAATTCACCCCAAGCCGCTCCCATGCCTCCCTCTTCCTACTAGAAGGAAACCAGCATCAGCCCAAACCCAACATTTTCTAGTATCTTTAACACCGGCCTCTAAAAATGCAGCATGCCCAATAACACACAAAACAACAACAACAACAAAAACCCCATAACTTTTAATTGGCTCCCAATCATAATGCCAATTTGACAAAAGACTGAATTTCCCCTTACATTGTAGTCTTCTATGATAGGAACAAGATACAGAAATACAAATACATCAGTTGAATCAAAGATGGCAATGATATTCCATAAGGAGAAGGGGAGAAAAAAAGAGGAAAAAGAATTTAGCTCCCTCTCTCCCTCCCTCCTCCACCCCATGTAAAAAAGGTGGAGATCACGCCATCCCAGGAAGCCGAGAATCACCCAAACCCAGCTAGACACCTGCCCCATGGCAGTTACTCATGGGATGGACTCATGATTGAAAGGGAGTGGGGTGGGCTGAGGACCTAGAACTTCATTAACTCTTTAGATCTGAGTAAAAAAAGATAAAACTCTCTCAAAGATTTCCAAACTGTTTTGCATAGACCTATCCCCTTTCCAAAAATATCTCTAATATAATCTCTCTCTATATAGAATTTGAATCTAAAGCTTTGACAGCACTAGTTAGAACCATGAAGGTCCAGGTATCAGAAAGGACACTATCCTTAAGAGGAGAGATGGGAGGGGCAGGGTTGGGGATTGGGAAGGAATGGGATTATTTCACTAAAAATTTGAAAAGGACCAGTGCAAGTTTTCATCTAACTTCTTGTCCCCTAACTACCTAATTCCCTCAGGTTCTCCTCCAGTCTGAAACTTTGTATTTTTGTTTTCTCTTCTAAGGCTGCCTGGGCGCTTACTTCTCCCAGAAAGGTCATCAGCTGGAGGTCCAGTCCTAGACTCCAGTGAGCCTAAGGAACCTTTCCTATCCCTGACCGCATTCATTCTGCGGCCTTTAGGCAAAAAGCAATAACCCATGCTAGATGACTGGGGACCAGTATTGAGGCTGCCAATTGAGAGAGGTAGAGGTGGGAGAGGCTGATGTGGATGACAGGTTTAAGGGAGCTCTCCCAAAGGGATTGGCATGCCCCCATCTCACAGGACCCCCTGGGCTTTCCCAGTAAGTGTGGAGGCCAGCTGCACACTCAAAAAAACAAAACAGAACATTAAAATACCACAAATCCCTCCTCCCCCTTGATCAAGTTTTAGTTTAGTTTTTTTTTTGTTAAGATCTTAGAACAAACTGTTGAAAGAAGGAATGTGAGAGGAGGCAGGGCACCACCACCTTCTTAGGGACCCCCCACAATGTTGGCTCCCAGTTAAAGTGCTAGTCATTCACAAGAGGGGGGAGAGAGAGCTCCCTCAGGGCTGAATCTGGTGGTTTTCTAGGACAATTCTACTCAACAAACGTGCAGTCCTGACTTAGCAGGCAAGGTCTGATAAGTGTTTTCTAAAAGGTTAGTAAAAAAAACAAAAAAGAAAAATGAAAGGGATCAATCTGGACCCAATGCCCCACTGCCCCCTCCCCCCTCCCCCCCCATGCTCACCCCAGCAGGGTTCCAAAAACAAGGATGTAGGACAAACAAGGACAACTGAGTCCTCCTGGGACCAGGGGAAGGTAGGGTGGGGACTAGAGCCCAGCTCCATTCCCAATGCTCAGAAAAAACGTTCCCCCCACATTCCCCACCTAAGAGAGAGGGCCAGCTCTCTGAATTCCAGGTCCTGACCAGCCAGCTTCTCTGGGGGGCTGATCAGAGGGGTGGGGTCAAGGAAGAGAAGAAGGGAAATGATCTTTCTCTTTCTGGGAATAAAATAGCAAAAAAATACCCAAAACAAAACAAAAACAAAAAAACCATTATCAACTTAAAAAAAAAAAAACAACCCTCCCACCCTTCCCAAAACCAAACACCAGCCCGCTGGGTTTATTAAAAATTACAACTTGGTAAATGAAATTTAAAAAAAAAAAAAGTGAAACCAGTGGTTTGAGCAAGGAGGTCCCAGGCTCTACATCTCCCGGCCTGGGCCTCTGCCATGGGGAAAGTGCTAAGAACAGAAGCTTTGGCAGTGGCAAGAGGTGATACCCAGACACTAAAGACATGGACTGATGGAGGGGCTCTGTCCTGCTGGGAGCACAGCTCCAGGCCATAACTGAGCAAGCACCTCTCATCCTGCCCATTCCTGTGAAGGCTGGGGCAAGGCATCCCCTTCCTGCTCACCTCACCAACTGCGTAGGTGGGGTTACCTCCGGCTGCCACGAAGGTTCTATGGCCCACCAGGCCAGCCTTGCTGAAAGGAGACAAGCTTTTTTCTCCTATTCCAACACCTCCAGCCTCCAGGAGCTTGTGGACACTTCTCCATGCCTCTGTGTCCAACTTGCTATTTTTTTTTCTTAATTTCTCTGTTGCATCAACTGCCTAAGACCCAGCCCCAAGCAGAGAGTACACCAGGACTCATAAGGTAGAGAGGAAAGAGGCCCTGAACTTCTCCCAAGTGGGGACGTGAACCTGTCACAGTCCTACCCAGGAGGGCTGATGCAAAGTCAAAGTAGGTGGCTCCCTACCCTAATAAGGGAAGTTCAGGGGCAGCAGTTACCACCTGGGCAGTCTGCTCTCCTACCTTACGTGGTCTCCCCCACTCTGGACAGATGAGGGGATTGGGAACGGGGGACCTGATAGCCCATGATGCTTAGCCAACCTGGCCAGCAGACAAGCATAGGTTTCAAAAAGGGGAGGCTAGAAGCAATAGAGGAGGAGGGGGCTGGCAGAAGGATGTGTGCGCATTGTTGGGGTGGGGAGGGGGGATGGCCAATCACCAACCCCCTGAGGCTCTGCTAGGGAAATATGTGCAAAGTGCAGAGAGCCACTGTGAGAAACAGAGGCAGGCAAATTCAAAAGGGAAGAGGGAGAAGACATGGATAGCTTATAAGTTGAAGGTATGTGGTATAGGCCAGGACAAGCTAGGGATGGGGAAGGCAGGTCTACCAAAGGCCACCTGGCAAGTCCACCTGAAGGGTGCTGACCTCCTAGAGGCAGGAACTCAGGGCTCAAAATCTCTAAAAAGATGAGCAAGGATACAAGCGGAAGGGAGGGAGCTGCAGGAGAACGCCATAGTCTTTAGCTCAGAACCAGAGAACAGCAGGAAAGTCTCGCAGCCAGCTCTAGGAGGCTTCTCCAGTTTCTCCAAGCGGCCTGTCTCTTCTCCCCTGGAGTGTTGTTAGAGGGAGGACTCAGAGATGCCTCCAAGGTGCGGCTGGAACCAGGGTAGCCAGTCCATACAACTTCCAGGTGGGGGAGGAAGACATGGCAGGAAGATCCTTGCCTCCACACACTGACTCTGGAGAAGTCAGAAGCACCAGCACTACAGGACAGGACAAGGTGGTAGGCCAGACCAAACAGGAGTCCTTTTCTCCTGCTTGTAGGGAAGCATGCCTGCCCACATCCATACTCCAAGAGGCCACAACCCTGCCCAGCAGTGGGCCTACAGTCCTGCAGTAGGAGTTAGCTCCCTAACCAGATTCTACCTCTTCCCTTTGCCTTCTGAACTGGCACACGGGCCAATAGTTTCCTATGATGAGGAAGGATCTGCTTATGGGCTGCTCTGGAGTGTACAAGCAGGGTTTCCTAGAAGGCTAGGCTGCCCTGGGGCTCTTCTTCCTGTCTGGATGTCTGCTCTATAGTGGTCTGGAGAATATTCACAGTGGTACAATCAGACTGCAGCCAGGGTCCTGGGAGATACTCTCAAGAACACCATGTGATTCCTCTGGGGAGAGGAATCAAAAGTGGTGGATGGAGGAGAGACTAGATGATGAGGGGAGGCCCCAATGCCAGCTTGGGCAGCCCACCCTCAGGACTGGTCTGGAGTGCAAAAATCAGATGAGAGTTGACAGAAGTAGAGATAGATGGAGAAGTGGTCCCTGGAAAAAGAAGGGACCTTCCCTTCTGGAATGACTCAGGTCAGAAGATCATGGTGGTCAATGGCTTTCAATCACTACAGGCTCAAAAACTCCAGAGGATACTCTGTAGGAGGAAGTGGAGAAAAACTGTTTAGAAACTCATCAAATTCAAAGGCCGTCCAGTGATATCCCAGAAAAGCTGATTCGGAGAGGAGCAGAGCCTGATTTTGGCAGGTAGTCATAAAGAAGGCATAATAATTGAGGCAAGGGACCGTCTTTGTATCCCCAATACCCAGCAACAGGGCCTTACACAATCCAGGGGCTTCAATGTTGGCCAACTTAATTCTAACCTGGCTGTGCCACCAATTTATTGCATGACCTTAAGACAAGTCCCTTCTTTTCTCTGTGCCTTGGGTTTCCCCATCTATAAAAATTAGGGGGGGTTAGGCTAAATGACCTCTAAAGTTCCTTCCAGTCCTAAAACCTAAGAGGCAGAGAACACTGAAGTGGAAAGACCCCTGGCTTTGAAGCAAGGAGGATCTGGTTTGTGTCCCAGCTATGACACTGATTCAGGTTAAGTCTCTACCCTGGCAGGTTTGCATTGACATCCATAAAATGGGGCCATAATACTTGTATTCCTTGACTTCAGGGTTTTTATGAAGAAAGCCCTTTGTAAGCCTTAATAGTACTACAGAAATGTGTATTAGGCTGAAGCTTGGTTCTCCACTCCTGTTTCTAAGAGCCTGGGGCTGCAGTTCCATCTCTGACCAACAGAGGACAACCACATCCTTCCCAAGCACATCACAACCCTCCCTACAGCCTCACCTGGCCCAAGTCCAGAGGCCTGGCTGGCCCTGGCCACAGGAATCCAAGATTTAGAGCTTCCTGGAACCCTAAGGGGCCACCCACTCCAACTCCCTCATTTTAAGTGGGGAAACTGAGGCCCAGAGGGAGAAATGACTCATCTAAGATCAGATTGACAGTGATAGAGTCAAGATTGAAACCAGGTCTTTTTTTTAAACTTTTTTTCTTTAATTTTGGCTTTTTTTTTTTTAAGGCAATTGGGATTAAGTGACTTGCCCAGGGTCACACAGCTAGTAAGTGTCAAGTGTTTGGTCTGAGGCCGGTTTTGAACTCAGGTCCTCCTGACTCCAGGGCCGGTGCTCTTATCCACTGTGCCACCTAACTGCCCCGAAACCAGATCTCCTTGACCCTCAATCTAGTTTTTGTTTTGTTTTGTTTTGCTTTACTCCAACACTCTATTATATGGCATATAGTTTTGTTCATTTGGAGAACGAATGCCAAATAACCTGTTAATGGTTTCATTTTACCTCTACTTTCACGTCCCTCAACATGATCCATTCTGCTAGAATTTCTTACACCACCAGGAAAGGAGATTTTAGGGTCTATTCTGGTGACTCTGCTCACACCCTGCCACCTAAGAGTCCTTCCTGTAGTCTAACCTTCATCTTCCACTGCTATGCCTGGTCCTTCTCTCAATCCGACCTTTGGGGAAATAGAACCCAGTGGAGCCCCACCAACACCCTCCCGACACCTCTGCAAGGTCTTTGCTGTGGGGCCAGAGCACCATAAAAGCTCACTGCTACTGTTTTGCCCAGTAGGTCTCTAGCTTTGCAACTAAATTAATCAAATTCACTGGCAATTCCCATCTGCCTCATTCTCCTCTCCAGTGAAGGAAAACCACTACAGGCCTGCCTGATTAGTGCCCGGCACAAAGCCTGGTTAAGCAAGGAGCCACTGTACCTGGTTGCCAGCTGAATACCACTCAAGGTGGTGGTGCCATCCCTGCTCACAAACAACCTCAGGTTACTGTCTGTGAAGAGAAAGGGGCAGGCCAGGGTTAGGGATGGCCTCCAGAGGGAGCCTGCCTACCCATCCCTACCCATCCCATCCCATCCCACCCAAGAGGAGAAGGTGCTTGGGCAGTAGCCCTACAGGCTCTGTGGGCAGCTGGGAGATGCTGGTACTTGTGCCTCACGCCCCACTCAACGTCAGCACTGGCTGGGCAGGCCAAAGTCAGGCGGGGGCAAGCTCCCCTCAAGGGAACTCACCCTCATTGTTGCTGACATCTGTAAAGTCTTGGCTCTGCATGATCTTCTCCACGATGTCGTCTGCATCAATTCTCGTGTCATCTACCCATGTTGGGTGGCTTTCCACTGAATCCTTCTTCCTCCTCGTGGGGGAGGGGAGAGATGATGGAATAAAACACCAAATCCTAGTAAAGCCAGCCGAGAAAACTCCGAGCTGAATGGGAAACACTCCTGATGCTCACCTCTTTTAAGAGAGGCACAGTTTGGAGTGGCAAGAATACTGGACTGGGGATTATGGAATTGTAGCAACGTAGAGCTGGGGCATCCTGTCCAATCCCCTCATTCTTTACAAGAGGCTGAGGTCCAAGGGAGGGGAAAAAGCTTGTCTGATATCCTAGTGGCATGTGTAGGCTTCAGACGGAGGTCCTCTGAACCCAAGTCCAACATTCCTCTCATTACATCCCACCCTTGGGCATCAGGAAACCTTGAACAAGTCACTTACCCCTTTCTTGCCCCACATGATGGTGTTACACTAAATAATCCCTGGGGCCTCTTCCAGCACTAAATACTATGATTCCATGCATCTTAGCTCTGACTCTTACTAGCTGTGCGACTGTAGGGAATTCACCTCATCTCTCTCAGCCTCAGTCTCTTCACTTGTAAAATGGGGACAATAACTCTCCTACCTCATAGCATCTACCTCACAGAGTTGAGCTGTAATGCTCTATAGACATGTGGACTACCAATTCTGGGATGGCCTTAGAACTTGGTTCACCAACCAGAACCAGGAATGAACTTCAGGAAGAGACTCAAGGGCACCTTCACCTCAATAATCGATTAGCTCCTTCCCCACCCTACCTGAATGATCGATCTGACAAATGCAGAGGTCTGGGGGGCCGAGGAGGCTTTTCTGGTTTGTGCTCCCTCTCGCCCTCAGGGCACTCTACAGTCATGCTGAGGCCGCCAGAGGCACTACTGCTGGTGGAGGTGTTTCTTCGGTGAGTCAAGTCTGACAGGCTGGAGGAGCGGGAGTGTTCAGTGCTGTAACCTGGGAGAAGGGCAGGAATGGGTGTGTGGGGAGAGGCAGAGAAGCAGCGGTGACCACCCCTCCCTATGGCCACGCTAGTGACAGGTGACAGCTTGGCTGGGGACAGGAAGAACAGGAAACCATCAGGTATCCCCCTAACTTAAGGAAGTGGGTAGAAGAGCTTGGTCCCAGCTTTGAATCTGATTCTGAAGGCTCTATGAAATAGGAAAAGAAGAGCAGCATGGAACAGTGAGCAAAGAGCTGGCCTCACAGTCAGAAACACCAGGGTTCCAGTTCCACCTCTGACACGCACTGGCTGTGTGGACCTTAACCTGAGACCAGACCCTACAGCAGTAACCTCATAAGGCTGTGTGCCGCCCACGGAGCTAAGGCATGTAAAAAAGCACTTCTCTGGCTTGGAGGCTGAGTGGTTATTATTATTTACCAGAGATCTTGGACTGCTGGCTGGCATAGCTGGAGTTACGGGAATGGCCAGAGTGGAACACTTCCTCTGGGCTTGACAAGGTCTGATCTGGTTCTTCAGGGACCCCTGGGAAGAAAGCAGGGAAGTTCATTATTGACTGTGCGTGTGTGTGTGTGTGTGTGTGTGTGTGTGTGTGTCCTTCCCTCTGTCCTTCTGTCTCTCTCTGTCTGTCCCTTTCTGTCCCTCTGCCTTTCTATCCTCTATCTGTCTCTTTTTATCCCTCTCTATCTGTCTTTCTGTCCTTATCACTCTATGTCTCCATGTCCCTCCCTGTCAGAAGGGTCCCAGCACTCCAGCTCATGGCCAGCACATGTTCAAGAGTAAATATTCACTGCTAGGAGTGCAGTCAGAGGGACCAGGGACCCCCAGGCTTCTAGGCTCTCTGGGCAATAGGGCAGTCCTGACCACTGTAACAAGGACTCAGATAGCTGAAAATGCCTTTTCCTGACAGAACAAAAAACGCTTATCTGAAATATGAACTATGCTACAGTCAAGACTCTCCACCCCTCCCTACCCTCCCACCCCCTGCTGCACAAACAGGGAGAGTGAAGGGCACCGAGTTTGTTTCTCTGGGGTGGGCTGAGCCAGAAGCAGAGCCAAGACCAGCACTCCCCAGGGTGTCTGGTGCCCCAAGGATCTGCTCTCTTTATCTACTCTACCTCTGGAGGTTAGAAAATGCAGTCCCAGAGGGAGACCCAGGGAGGAGGCAATGAGAGGACATTAGAAGGAATTTTCTATGGGAAAAAGGTCAGGAGTTTCTTTTAGGGGAGAAAGAACAGAACAGAGCAAAAACATGGCTAAACCAAGGAAGAAAATCAAGTCTGGAAAGGGGGGAACAGATAGATGTTTGAAAGAACAGCCTCTCTACCCTGAGCATACCTTGTAACAATAAAAACAATAAGAGCAGCTCATATCTATATAGCATTTTTACATATAACACTAACACTCATGTAGCACTTTGAGGATTGCAAAGCACTTCACACATTTTCTTATTTGATCTTCACAAACACCCTGAAAGGAAGATGCTATTATTCCCTCATTTTACAGCTAAGGAAACTGAGGTTAAGACACTAAGTACCTGCCTAGGATCGTACTTCTGAGGCAGTATTTAAACCTGGGTCTTTTTGCTTGGGCCAATGCTCTATCCACTACCCCCCACTGCCTCTCACATTTAAGATGACAGATGGAAGCTGCCCATGACTTTTCCTCTCTCTCTCTCTCTCTCTCTCTCTCTCTCTCTCTCTCTCTCTCTCTCTCTCTCTCTCTCTCTCTCTCCCCCCTCTCTCTCTTTCTCCTCCCTCTCTCTCCCCCCCCCACCTCTTCATCCCCCTCCCAAGAGCCAGGAGCCTGTTTGCCTAAGGCGTCTCCTAGCCCATGGCTCAATTAGTAACCGGGTGCAATTAGCTAGAGGGGGCACACCTAGTTTGTTTGAAATGGTTCCCTCTGGGAACTTCAACTCCTAAAAACCTTCTGAGTAAGGTTGGACTGGCCTGGATACTAGAACCGGCTGGTTCCTTATGAACCTGCTTCCAAAGCTGAACTGGGCCTGACCAACGGTGAGTGAAGGAATAACCCAATGGGTCCATTGAGGAAGTTCTGGGTAAGTAGTAGTTTCAGTTCCTAGAACGTGAGGCACTGAGTGGATGGGAATCAGAAGGATCTGATCTCAACTCCCGCCATTTTTTAAACGCGGCATTTGCAAAGCTTTGTTAAAGGACCAAGGGGGAGGTAAGCACCCACTTCACATACTCTTAAACTGTTGAAATGCTAGCTCTTCAAAACTATGAAGCTTTGGAGCCCAGAGATTAATAGGGGCCAGCACGGCCAGGCCATGACAACTCTCCCATATTGCTGGCCAACTCCTATATTTTTATGGTCTTTTTCTCTAGTCACTGTCACATTATCAACATTCTATCATATATCCTTGTTTCACATATGCTTGTGTCTTGATTTTCTAACAAGGAATGTGCTTTATTTATTCATTCCCTACATTTATGAATTGCTACAATTGATACAAAACTCAGGAAAGACTTGGTTCCCTGCCCTGACAGACCTCAGGCTAACAGAGGCACTTTCAGTTATGATGTACAATATTATACCCTAAGTCTGATGAGGTAGACCTGAACCCATTCTCCCAAATCTAACCTCAACCTGTTTGTGCTGTGTGGAGTGAAAGCAGGGAAGATCAGTATCCTCCTGGAAGATTTGTGGATTTTTAAGTCAGGTTTAAAAGGTTGGGTAGGCTTTTTTGCAGAGGTGAGGGACTATGGGGTGTGAAACAGTGGAGACACTGTCAGACTCGGGTGACATGTTGGTTTTGCTGAGTTGCTTCTTTTCTTCCTTTTCTTGTTTTTTGTTTTGGTTTTTGTTAAGACAGATGATGCATCTGGGTAAGGGATGGGGAAGGTACATATTCAGAATGAAAGTGATATAAAAATAAAATAAAAAATAATTTTAAGTAAAAATGAGAATGGAACTCAACAGGCGATAGAGGAGGGCATTACAGAAACAGGAAATAGTATGAACGAAGACACAGAGAAGCAAATAGAGTCTGTTCAGGGGCCAAAAAGTAAATCAGTTTGGCTAGAGTATATATAGTTCAAAGTTGGAGAAGCAGGTGGTACTAGACCTGCTGTAAGCCTTGAATGCCAGGCAAAGATGATGTCTGAACTTTAGGTAGATAAAAAGTCACTGAAGATACAGAGAAATTTCAGCTCAATTGTACACTATCCTGGTACCCAAGGTGTTTACCTATTTGTATCTTACCCTAACACAATGATCTGGGCAGAGAAGCCACTTAATATTTGTGAAACTGAATTAACACAGTGTTAGGTGCAAACGAAAGGAATCGATTAAATTTTTCTCCTAATAACGCAACCCAATACATAACAGAAGTCACATGTTTTCCTCTAGAGAATAGGGGTTCTCCTTCTCCCTAGGAAGCACATGACAAATCTCATCTGACACTTAGGAAAGCCAGTACCCAGAGTAGGTCAATCATTTGCCAGAGGTCACATAGCAAAGGTTCAGAAAGAGGAGAGGGTGGATTTGCTACCTGATCCGAGGATGGTGGGTCTTGCCTTGGTCTGCCGGGGCCCCGTGAGGGTTGTGGAGCCACTGGCTGTGCTGCTGCTACTGGAAGTACCCTCACCCTTACAGGTCAACTGGAGGGACGTGTCCTGGCTGGGGATGATGATGGACTTGGCTGTGGAAGGTGGCCTGTAACGCAAGAGGTGGTGAGCATCAATGCTTCCTGCCACTCCTGCTAGCCCATGGCTCCATGGAGCATTTAAACTAGGAAATAGCCAAAGCCTAAGTGGAAAGAAACACCCAATTTCCAGTTTCTCTGCAGAACCTTGGATTTTCATAAGCCATGGAGGCTAATCAAAACTGAGAAAAGATATAACCTCCCAGCTCTACTTTCTAGTGCCTCCAGATAGAACTAAAATGAATGAAGGAATGAAAAAGCATTTATTAAGCATTCACCATGGGCCAAGTACTGTGCTAAACACTAGAGATATAAACAGAAAAATAACAGAGTCCAGGCTCTTCCCTTCTAATTTAAGTCTCCAAGACATTTCCCCTTTCTCCTTTTCCTAGTCTGACCACCCTCAAAAATCAACACCCTGGCCCTTCTGTCCCTTCCTTCAACACTTTATCCCCCAGAATGTAAGACATGACACCAAGAAAGGGTTAAAAACTCACGTCTTAAAGCAGGGGTCTCCAGAGAGCAAGGACATCCCAATGGTGACCTGTTAGGGAAAAATAAGACAACATTGGAATCAGAGAGAGAAATCATATGATGGAAATCATGCTAGACTGAATCTCAAGACTACAAGTGAATCCTTATTCAGACAGTTACTAGTTGAGTGACTATGGATAAATTTATTTCACTGAGGCAGTGAGGTGGTACAGTGGCTATTCAGATACCCACTGTACTGTGGGCATGTGTGAGCATGGGAAAGTCACTTCATCTCTCAGCCTGGGTTTGTCCATCTGTAAAATGAGGATGATAATAGCAGCTACCCCATGGAGGGGTTGGTTGGAAGGATCAAATGTGGCAACATGAACTGTGCTCGGCAAACCCAAAAGGCACTATATATAAATCCTAGCTATTGTTATTATTTACTTCTGAGACCAAGTTTCCCCATCTATAAAAAGGAGCTGACACTTCAAATATTAATTGGCATACATCTGTAATCCTGTGGTGTTTACATAATGCTTTCCTCCCAAATGTCTAGGCCTCACAGGTTTATTAACCACAATTATTATCAATCAATAATAATCTGAACCTCCTCTAAGGCAAAGACCTAGAAATTTCATACTCTAGACCAGGAGTTCTTAACCTGATGTATGTGAACCTGGTTTCTAAGAAATATTTTAATAACTACTTCATTATGATTAATTTCCTTTGTAATCACAACTACTTTAGAGTTTGTGCATTTAAAACACTGATCTGGAGGTGGCGCAGTGGATAGAGCGCCTGTCTTGGAGTCAGGAGGAGCTGAGTTCAAATTCGGCCTCCGACACTTGACATTTAGTAGCTGTGTGACCCTGGGCAAGTCACTTGACCCCATTTGCCTCACCAAAAAGCAAACAAACAAAAACAAAAACAAAAACAAAACTACTGATCTTACAAGGGATCATCAGTAGGCCTCACTATGCTCTCAAAAGGTTCTATACACAAAAAGGTTATGAATCCCCTGCTCTAGACCTTGATCTAGAACTATGGAGCTGCCATCCCCCATCTCAAAACTGAGATGTTCCCAGTAACAGCCATGTTGTGCAATGACTAACTGTGATAGACTTAGTGCTTCTCAGCAATGCAAGGATCTAAGACATCTCCAAAGGTCTCATGATGGAAAATGTTATCCCTATCCAAAGAAAAAACTATGGAGTTTGAATGCAGATCGAAGCATACTATTTGCTCTTTTTTTTCTTCGTTTCATTTTGTTTTCTTTTTCTTGTGGTTCCTCCTCTTGGTTCTAATTCTTCCTTACAATATGACTAACATGAAAATATATTTAATAGGATATATACGTAGAGCCTGTATCAGCTTGCGAGCTGTCTTGGTGAGGGAGGGGGAAAGGAAGGGGAAGAAAAATTTAAAACTCAGAAGCTTATGGAAGTGATTGTTAAAAACTCAAAATAAATTAATTTTTAAAAAATACTGAGATATTCCACTAAGGCAGTCCTCTTTGTCAGGTTGTTTAGTTTCTCTAGCCCTGAAATGCATACGCTCCGAATCTTTCTATATTCCTAAGTACACAGAATACTCTAAGTTTGGTTTTCTATTTTTGGATTTCTTTTACTATCTACTCTTTCCACCCTCTTAATACTAATTTCCTCACTTCGGAAACAAAGACCAAACCTCTCTCCCCACATCAGGTTCTCTAAACCCAAACGCTAACAAGCAGGGCCTGAATTCTATGTGCATCCCAGCATGGCGGATCCTGAGAAGCCTTCATCTTTTCCTGGCAGCCTGGTAGCTGTCTGATACTGGCAACTAGAGCTGCCAGCTAGCTCCCTACTCCTACACATCCCCCAGACTCTCCCGGGAGACAAACATGCTTGTATTTTATCTGTTCAAGGAGGATGTTGTTGGGACCAGATTGTTTTCTTAGGCAGATGGATGGGTGTGGATAGCAAGGAGGAACTGGGCTCCTCTGGAGGAGGAAGCCGCCCTTCATGTCCCTCTCTCCTGGGGGAGGCAAAGACAACAGAGTTCAGAGGAAGCTGCCTCTTCTAACAACCTCTGCCAGCACGTGGCTGGGCCAGGGAGAGATGAGTGTGTTACTACAGACCAGGTGATTCTGCCAGCCTTCAAAACCACCACTCACGAGGATGCAGTGCATCACAATCTATGCCAGATAAATAGAAAAATTGGATTGCTCATTCATTTTATTCCTAGGGTACCACCCAAGGAAGCAAATAGGTTAGGGAAGAGTCCTTTGGAAATCTAGCTTAACCTCTGTGGATCTCAGTGTCCTCATATGTGAAATAAGGGAGATAAATCGGCTCATCTCCAAAGGTCCCTTCTAGCCCCAAAGCTTGCTATATTATATACATATATTTATATATATATATTTGATACATCTATGGAAGGTGTCTTTCAGCTCCAATGTTATGTGGCTGTAGTCTGACTTTGTTATCACCATACCAGCTGCTGGAGGTAAGGGGGACCAGGGAGGGGCAAGGGGAGGGAAGAAGGGGAAGAGCCTGGTCTTCCTGTCACTGGAGATACCTTTAAGATGGAGTTGTCCTGCCGGGTGTTCTTGGTGTCATACCCTTCTAACAGGCAACATCGGACAGTGGAACCAGAGCCAGCAAATTCAGCCAGATTCAGGTCTGCAAATCCTAGCTAGAAGGGAGGAAGTGGAGGGAGAGAGGGACATTTTGGTTAGTCAATGAAGAAAGATGTAGGTGCCCTGGAAAAAGATAAGAAAGGGGCAGAGACTAACATTGCTGTCAATAGCTCAACTACCATGAGTGGGAAGCAGCATACTCCTGAGGATATCAGCCACCTCTTCCAGGCTAACTTGGAAGGCTGGGAGGAGGAAGGAGAAATGCAAACTCTGGGCCAGCCACGAGAGTGTTAAACTGCCCTGGGGCTGTTGCATAACCAAGGACAGGGAAGGCACTAGGTCAATGATGTGAAAAAAACAGAATCACACATCCACACCACATAATAAGGCCCCCTTTGTCCTCAGTATTCCCAGCATGCACCCTGGCCCTCACGCCAAGAGATGAAAGGCTATTGTTGTCGATGAAACTGACACATAGTTCCCTGGAAACAAGAATTCGGGTCCATAGGAAACCACCAGTGGTAGCAAGAGCAGCAAGGAATGAAAGAATCAGCTTTAAGCCTGCAGGTCCCTGTAAGAGATTTTTGGTGGACTGTTCCCTGGGCTGGACACACCTGGGCACGCAACACCTCCTGGACACGTATACCCCCCACCCCCAAGAAATGAAGGTCAGCTAGAAAAAAGTATCCATTGGAGAATAAAAGAGGCAAACTGGTCTGAACAGGCAGGGAAGGAAGCAAGTTTAAATGTTTCCAACAGATTATTCTCATAATCGACTATGGATAAGAGTTCACTAGTGAAGGACAAAGTGGCAATGGCAGGGGGACAGTTCAAGATCAGGGTGCTAATACCCAGAGTCCTACACTGCTCTTCAAGGACATCCTTGGAACTTCAGGAGTCTACCACATCTGACTGAAGTAACAAAAATAGGGGGCGGGGTGGGGGGGTGTAACCCCTTCTCCCTGGAGCAACCACTGAGCAGGGGCATCTCAACATAAACCAGACTAAGAGATTAAAGAAAAAGGGGGCGTGGCAGTGATGGTAATGGTGATGGTACAGAAGAGAGTAGAAAGAAGCATGGGAAAAATCCAAGCTGAAAAAAATCTCCTTGAATCAAGACAGTTTAATTTCCCTTCACCAAGAAGCCTAATGATGGCCATTCTGAATTAGTGCCCATCTGTGATGAGGCAGGGTGGTACGGCTCAAGCTGAATCAAGCTGAATCAAGCTGGAGAATGGCTTTTATATGTGGATGCCCAGTTTCCCGCTTTAGTCAGAAGATGGGTGAGTGAATTCTGAGGAGTTTAATAAAGCTGAACACTGAGTCTTTTTTAGAGCCCGCACACATTCTGAGCTAGGTAGGGGGAGAGTAGGTGGAGTCTCCAAACTGAAAGGCTCTCCTAATGCTAGTCACATTTAAATAAGTTAGCTCAGTACCATTACCTTAAAGACAAAAAATACCGTTCCCCTATGATGCATAAGGCACAGCATTTGAAGCATTTTTCATCATTTCCTGAGAATAATTCACTCCAGTTAAATGCACTACATGGGGAAGAGGCTTATCAGAAAGTCAAAGGTAACACATTTTGATTATTGCTCGTGAGTACAGACCCTCTATCTAAGGCACCGAAATCCCCGAATTCTCCCTGACCCTCTTATTCTGATCAAACAATGTTCTCTCTAGAGGTCCAGGTGCCAATATTTTGCTGAAAGAGCCATTTTCCAAAAAAGAAGCCTGCTATAGGGACTGGATGGTGAAACAAAAAGGATGCTATTTATTTAGCCCTGAACTCTCATGTTAACTAGGGCTTTCTTTCCCAGCTAGGAAGTTCTGTTCTCATCCAGTTCAGAGAGGCGTCAGGAGAAGTGCCCATTTTGAAAGCATCTTCAACTGGCCAGGTTCCAGGGACCACCACTCCTGGTGACATCAGAACAGGGCAGAGAGTTGGTCCCCGTTCCAACTATTCTTCCTGACTGCCAGTTGGGAATCAGCAGAATGGGCTGCCTGCCCAGCTGAAGGATGTACTCTTGGCCACACCATCCCAACTCCCGAGTATGGATGAGAGGGTCAAGCCAGAGGCATTTCCCTCTCTTCCTCTTGCCCAGCCAATTCCCCCAGGGCATAATACAGACCAGCAATGCCATTTCTCTGACTCAACCTGGGATAGGAATGATGGAGATAACAAATCTGGTCCTACCTGGCACTGCCAGATAGTGATACCTAGGTTTAGTCTCTCTATTAACAAGGAGTGAGGGAAAAGGACGTCCCCCACTAGTCAGGAGAGAGATTCTCCATCTTTACAGAGAATAGATAGCAGGCTTTGAGTACAACAGGGAGAATTTAAGTTCTTACACATAAAGAACTCTAATAGAATGGACTATTAAATACAAGGGGCGGTTAGATGGCACAGAGGATAGAGTGCCAGGCCTGAAGGCAGGAAGACTCATCTTCCTGGATTAAAATCTGGCCTCAGACACGTACTAGCTCTGTGACCCTGAGCAAGTCACTTAATCCTGTTTGCCTCAGTTTCCTCATTTGTAAAAATGATCTGGCAAAGGAAATGGCAAACTACTCCAGTATCTTTGCCAAGAAAACCCCAAATGGAGTCACAAGGAGTCAGACAGGACTGAAAACTACTGAACAACAACAACAAATTAGAAAGTACAAAAGTAGAGAAACTGAGAACCTCTTAACCTTAGCAGAGGGTAGGGAGGGAAGAGAGGGAATTGGAAAAAGCAGAGCTAATCTGCGATATTTAGGGTAGTCTGCATATAGACAGGAAAGCTGGATATCTTTTTCTTTCCCCTCTGGCATTTCTTTCTCTGGGAAACCATGCCCAAGGGGATTGTTTTATAAGACTCTTACCTTGGAGTAGGCCTTCCCACCTTTCAGCTCCTACAGAAAGAAAACAGGACATGTTAGCAGGATTACTAAGGCAACTAAAAGAACCTGTCACTCATTTATCTCCCAGGCCCCCACTTGGGACTTATCACCCCCACCTGGATTGCCCTCAGAAACATCTCTCAGAAATTAAAAAAAAAAAGCCTGAGCTAATGAATCAAGGGCTCAGCCAGAACCTATGAACTTGACTTCACTGTGTCTCATTTAAACTTAACCCATCAAGTGACCCCTCGAAGGGACTGCTGCTGCCTCCCATAAAAGCAAGCTCACAGGGGCACCTAGGTGGCGCAGTGGATAGAACACCAAGCCCTGAAGTCAGGAGGACCTAAGTTCAAATCTGGCCTCAAACCAAACACTTGACACTTACTAGCTGTGTGACCCTGGGCAAGTCCCTTAACCCCAATTGCAAAAAAACAAAACAAAACAAAACAAAACTAAGCTCACCTTTCGGACAGACACTCTGCAGATGCAGGCATCCAGAAGGCCAGTGGCCGGATTCGCACTCATTTTACACACAAAGGTAAACCTCTTCCTCCATCGGACACAATTCTCCTGCACTTCCTCCCTAAAGGTGAAGAACATGGATAAAGTTAGACTGGCCTAGGGGTGCTGCTTGTTTCCTTCAGAACAGAGAAGATGAATTTATCTACTCAAGGGAATAACAATAATAGCTAATATTTACACAGTACTTTAAGTTTTACAAAGTGCTTTATATATATATATGATCTCATTTGATCCTCACAAGAACCCAGGGGGACAGGTGCTACTATAATCCCCATTTTACAGATGAGAAAACTGAAGTTGAGAGAGATAAAGTGACTTTGCCCAGAGTCACCCAGCTGATAAGGGTCTGAGGTGGCACCAGGCCTCAGGTCTTCCCGACTCCGAGACCCGTCAGGCTGGTCTAAAAACTTGGCTTTCAGACCCATAGTCCTCATCTGCTCATTTGTCCCTCAGAACTCTGCAGCAGGGTGGGGTGACAGCTTAGGAAGCCAAAGGCAGAGAAAATCAGCTCCATTTTTGCTGTCAGGGAGTTTATTTCCTGACTGCTGAAAACTCAGAGAGGACGTGGGAGTAGGGCGGAGGGTGTGTGGGAGATGGCAGGGGAGGCTGATGGAGCAATGTCTCAGCAGCGTGAAGTGGGATCTGGGGGTGGGCTACGTACAGGGAGAAGGGTATGTGGGTGGACTGAAAAGCGGGGTGGGTGGTAACGTGAGAACAAGTATACGCACTCTGAAGGGCCTCTCGTGTGCTCAGGGCTGGGAAGTACTGAGCAGAGTATGCTGATAGCCATGTATCTGTACGTGTGAGAGAATGCGAGTGCGAGATCTGCGTGCAGGCAGGAGCAAACACGCCTGGCTCACGTGCACTGGGAGAGGCTGCTTACAACTCACATTACGAGCCCTATTCAGTTTGCTAGGCTCTGAAAAGAGAGGGTTCTCATCTTTTTAGAGCTGCATGGTGGACCTGCCTGATGAAGTGCTCGGGAAGGGTGGCTGAAGCCCCATGAATCCAAACAGGATGATCAGCTAGAGAGATTATCTCTAGAATCATTTAACTCAACAGGAAAGGGAAGAGAAGGTAGGGTGGAGAGGAGTGGGGCAGCTGAGAAAATGAACACCTCCACACCCACTGTGACCCCAGACAGTGAGTCCAGGTTACCAGCCAGGTCACAGGGAGGGAAGATGAGGCCTCCAGTGCTGGATGATCTCGTAGATAACTCAATCAAATGATCGACCAGAACCTTTTTGCCAGCAGACTGTTTTTAGGTTAGGAGATGCCCTGAAAGTCCTGCGATGATCCTTAGGGAACATCTGGGAATCCCATGGAAGGGTAATGCCACTCAGAAACCAATACTTTTCCCAACTGTCCCACCAGCTTAAATAATGTTAAGCATAAAAGGACTCTCTGCCCTCCCCCTGTGGAATGCCGCCTTAGAAAACAATCACCTAGGAAGAACTGGTCTATAACTGGGAGGCAATATAGCTCAAGGACATTCCCCAAGGGCTCAAGAACTACCCCCAAACTTTAAAGATTCATTATATGATCCTTTCTGGGCTCCCTTTTGTAAATTGGGGTTTTGTGTGTAACACCCTCCATTTCAACTCATTTTTCCCATTTCTTATAAGTTAATATTGTAGAAAATGAGGTGGTTGTGAAAGCCCTTCTGGGCTCTCTGAAAAACTCTAGGGCATCACAATTAATTTCACAGCTATGGCATCTTGGGCCCAGTATGAATGGAAGGCCTAATCCCTCTCCTGGGGCAAAGGTACCTTGAAGAAGCAGATGCTAATCTGCGCTCCACCACTGATTTATGACCCTGGAACTTCTCTGTGCCTCTACTTCTCCAGTAAATTGGCATCTCTACACCCAGATTATAAACCAATCAGGGAATGACTCAAAACTTCTCATCCATTGACGAGTCACAGAAACATCAGGCCATCAAAATCCCCCATTTCCAGTGTTTTCCTTCTGAGATGATCTCTCATCTACTACAGGGCATTGACCTTTTATGTATGTAATTGTTTGCCTATTGTCTCCCTCACTGGCAGGGACCATGTTTTTGCCTTTCTTTATATCCCCAGCACTAAATGCTGTGCCTGGCACATAGTAAATGTTTATACCTGCTGACTAACTGGGGACTGTCTTTTTCAACCATTCTGTACAAATGGTGGCTTAGCTCATGGAACCACAGACTTAGAGTTGGAAGAGACCTTAGAGGCAACTCAGTTCAACCCTTTTTACAGATGAAGAAATTGAGGCTGTGAAGATAACTGACTTGCTCAGCTAAGGTGTGTCTGAGATGGCATTTGAACTCAGGTCTTCCTGATTGCTTGTCCAACACTTCTATCCATATTTCTTGGTCAATCTATAATCACTACTTCCTGTAAAAAGCTTTCCCTGATTAACTCCACCCACAGTGAGCACCACACCTATCCCTCCCTCACAAGCTAGGGTTTCCCAGGGTTTCACTATCACATGCCCATTTTTTGTTTCCTGGAAAATGGCCTGCCTGCTAAAACTAAGTCAGCTATTAACTTCCTCTGGAAGCTCAGCTTTGTACTTAATCCCTCAACAAAGGCAGGGCCTTCAGTATAGTAGGTGATTGATCTATGGTTGCTGAATGAAGACAGTGGGTAGGCAGGGGAGGGAGGGCAGCCTTTGTCTGGGTGTCACCACAACATCACAGGGTCTTGACATGGAAGAAATCTCAAGGTAATTTAGTGATTTTACAGATAAGGAAAATGAGGCCTAAGAAAGTATCATCCAGGGTCACCCAGCTGACAAGTGTCTGAGGTAGCACTGGACCTCAGGTCTTCCCGACTCCATGACCAGTGTTCTAAAACTGGGCTTTCTGAACCATTGTTCTCACGGTCTCTTCTGTCAAACAAAACTACCCAAGGTCACCCAGGTAATGTGGCAGATGACAGATTCAAACTCAGATCCCCTCATTCCAAATTCAGTGTCCTTTCTATTTGCCTACTTTGACTACTTTGTCTTAGGGCAGCTAGGTGATACAGTGGATGAAACACTGGGTCTGGAGTCAGGAAGACCTGAATTCAAATCTAGCCTCAGATACTTACTTAACTGTTTGACTCTGGGCAAGTCACAAACTTGTTTGCCTCAGTTTCCTCATCTGTATAATGAGCTGGAGAAGAAAATGCCAAATTACTTCAGTATCTTTGCCAAGAAAACCCCAAATAGGGTCACAAAGGGACACAACCAAACAACATTATGTATTGTATGTCTTAGCAAGACATACAATGACTCTTTATTTTCTTATCACAGTTTTTTAAACTTTCTTATCAATGTCTTTCCAAGCTGCCACCAACAACCTGCTCTTTCTGGTCTCTCTTGAATTTTTTCCCAGCCCCTCCCCACCCTCTACTCACATGACACACTTTTCAGAACTTGAGGACCTTTCAGCGAATCAAAGACTGCATGGAGTTTGGGGAGAGAGGCCACAGGAGATACAAGGATGGTCTTTCTGGAATGAACTTAGAAGCAGAAGGGGCAGAAACTGGACCCCTGAAAACAATGGCTAGGAACACCCAATGGGAACCCGCAGCTCACCCCTGCGTAGGTAAGAAATTAGGAAGCAATCTGACACTGTTTGGAGGCTGCAGATGGATTCTCTCAGTGTTGAGACTGGAATCTGAGACTATTCAAAACTTAAGCTGTCCTACCTCTCCCTCCCCTCTTCCTCACCCTCCCCACTGGAGAGAGTCAGATGACAGACTCCAAAAGACTTAAATGGATCCTAGGTTAGACATGCTGGAACACCCAAAAGAGATTAGTCACTTGGAACAAAATACTTAACAGAATGGTGGGGTTTTTTTCCCCCTTCTTCTTTATAAAAGACTAGCTTTGGGTTGAATGCAGGTAAGGTGGTGGCCTATGCATGACTCAAATCTCTCCTGCCAGGGCTGATCCAGTTAAAGCACATTGATTCAAGACACTGGAGGGTCTCCCAGGCGTAGGTAACAGACTCTCTTTCTCTCTCTCTTTCCTTTATGGGAAAATGAACCCAAATCATTGTACAGACTTTGCCCATTATGCAACAAGCTGGTTGTTTGTTGGCTTACCACTGTTAACTTCCTTCCCATTTCCACCAAGTTGATAAACACTCATTTATCACCACTCCCCTGGGAATGAGATAGCATGCCCATCTTCATTTTTCCAAGAGGTCATGGAGCTATGCCACACAGTCTGTGGTATAAGCACAATTACCAACTGTGCTCAGGAGGACTTGAGCTATAGTCCTGGGTGGACCTTACCAGGCTTCAGTGTTCTCTGGGGACCTGACCAGTACAGATCCATAGGCTCACCCAGTAAATGTTTGTTCAGTAAATATTTGTTGGACTGAACAGCCTGAGTTTTTGAGTAATGAAAGCAAGTCTATTTTCTAACTTGCTATGAGGCTTTGGACAAAGCTCTCTTTATGCCTCAGCCTCAGTTTCTCTACCTATAAAACCAAGACAGGAAATGTGGACACTCCCATCACAAGATGTTATGAGAAGTAATAAGATTCTATTTATCAGCAGCTCAGGGATGCAAGGTAGACAAAAAAGAGTTATTACTGTTGATATTAATACTGGGGTGGAGAAGAGTCACAGAAGCTTGGTGATAAGGTTAATGAGAGACAAGGAAAAATTCTCCAAAGCCTCAGAATGGAGGAATCCTAGAGTTCAAAGGTGTCCCTAAACCCAAAGATTCCCATCACACAAGATTCCTTCCTTTCTTTCCAGAGGTAAGGGACTATGGGCATGGAACACTGAATATACTCCTTTTTATTCTTTGTTACAAGGAAGGGTTCTTTGTAGAAGGAGGAAGGGAAAGATAAATTAGGAAACAAAGACTGTAAAAACAAAAGGTATCAATAAAATGAGATTTTTAAAAATAGATGCTATAAGCTTATATGGAAGGACTACTCTAAGGGATAGAGGAAAGTGGAATAATATAAAGTATATAATTAGTAAATTATACTACAGAGATGTAACTTTAAGAGTGAAAGAGGACCAGAAGGTAGGTTGGGACAATGGGAAAAGCTCTGATTCTGAAGCTAGAGGACCCAGATTCAAATCTCATATCAAACACTGCCTGTCTGACTTTGGGCAAGTCCCTCCACCCCTCTGGGCCTCAGTTTCCTTATCTAGAAAATGAAAGAGGATTGGAAGTGATGGCCTCTGGGGTCCCTTCCAACTCTAGATCTGTCCTTCTAAGAGAGACTTGGATATTTACTGAAATAGTAGCGAACACGGAGGATGCCAATTCTGAAAGTAGATCTATGAAACTTTGCACAAAAGACGTTCATTTGCAGAACTTGTGGGAGGTGGAAGCAGCCACCCAGCCAAATGTCAGATATTTTTCTTTTATGCAATTGATACTATAGCTGCACCAGGAGCCATCTTTTGGGAAGATAATTTTTTAAAAATATTTTGATAAACTAAATTTTAATATTTTAAAAACCTTTTCTCTTAATAGTCTAAAAGTCTCTTCTACTCTGCATGGGACATGGAAAAATAGAAATAACACAGAGAAAAGAAAGGGATCTTCTGTGAGCTTTGGGAGAGGTCGCTTTAGCTATCCCAACAGCCTGATATTTTGGGTGCCTAAACGTCCTGCCTGCTGTCTCAGGGCAGGTAATTATAGGGACGGTATTTCAAAAGTGACTTCAGAAGAGTTTCATTTTCAGCTTTGAGATTCCCTGGATATACAATTAGATCAAACCCCAGGGAGGTGAGGATGACTGAGGCCCAGCGTCATGGAGGGGACCACCCCCAGCCCACCTCAATAATCACAGGCCTCCTGCCGCAATGGGCCTGACCCAAACCAGAGAGGCAGGGACAAAACCCAGCTCTATTTCTGGGTCTTCCTGAAATAGACAAAGCTACACCAAGCTGGATGGACTCTTGTCCAACTAACCTTCCCATAAAAACTTTAAAGATGTTTAGAAAAACCCATCTTTACTGCCACATGTTCAGGTCGTTTGACAAGATCACCCTAGTGAAGGGGATGAGAAGGGAATCTTTTGCATTCTTTGTGTTTCAAGAGAGGAAAGGCCCGGATTTCTTCCCTAAGTGTGGCTGTCCCTGACCCCTCACCCCCCTGGCTGGGGAATACTGAACCCACATTTGCCGCTCAGCACCTACCTGCTCCTGGGTCCTAGATGGTAGAGCAGTAGGAGTTCAAGACTTGGGGTGGCAACAGGATGCCCCAAAGCACTCTCTTTAGCCTTGCTGGGGGGGGGGGGGTTTCCAGAAAAATAATAATAGCTAGCACTTATGTGGCATCTGAAGGTTCACAAAGCACTTTACACAGGTTATCTCATCTGACCCCCAAAACAACCCGGGGTAGCAGGTGCAATTATTATTTCTATTTTCACAGATGAGCAAACTCAAGCCAAGGTAGTTAAGTGTCTGAGGACAGAATTTTGAACTGAGGTCTTCCTGATTCTAAGTCTCCCTGCCTTAAGGGGACAACATAAACAACTCTGTAGGTAGGATTAGACCTTGATTTGGGCACCCTCCAAAATAACCAATCACCCCAAGAATTATAAGTAAGGGTTCCACTTCAAAGGTAAGCCTATGTAGCTTTTAGGTCACTCAGCCCCATCCCCTTTCAATTTGGCTTCCACCAGGTAGAAAGAAAGCCACTAGTTAGAGCCAGGGAAGCTGGAGGCAGGCAGGAGGGAGGGAAAAAGTCATTTTTCTAACTACAGAATCTCACAGTTTAAAATGCTTCAAATTTCACACCCTGGGCTAGGCTGGCAAACTACAGCTAAAATTAGGTTTGCTTCAAATGGGTTAATTCCAATGTAACAGAGTCTCCAATTTCTTTGATGGGAGGGTCTTGCTTTTACCCCACTCTGTCCTATAAAGAATTTAGGGAATGTAGTTCACTGGGTCAGGAGCAAAGAACAAACCATATTTTACTCCCAAACTTTTCACCTCTGCATGGCATAAAAGTAACCTCGGGCCTTGGATCATAAAATGTCCAAGCTGGAAGTAAGCTTAGCAGTGCTCTAGTCTACCACTCCCTCATTTACAGATGGGGAAATTGAGGCCCAGAGAGGTAAAGCAACCTGATGCCCAAGTTTATAAAGATTCTATAGCAGAACCCAGGTCCTCTGATTCCAGTTTTTTCCCACTGAACTGGCATTCCTGGAATCCCCTGGACCAAAAGAGCTGAAAAAAAAAATGCCACAGTAGACAAAGATCTGGGAAAACCTTTCATCCAATCAAGTAGTAAAGGGCCTGGGTTGGAACTTGTATCCCCCAGCTCCCAACAAGCTCCAATGGGCACACATACACAACAACAACAACAAAAACAACAACCATCCCAATTCAATTCTCCCAAGAACAGGGGGCTGGCCAGCTGACTCCCTGGCAAAGCCAACACAGCAATGATGATGCAACAGGAGTTTCCGACTGATGAAAGCCAGATCAGCCCAGAGATGCAAATGTCTAATAAGGAAACAATTTAAATCCAGAACATCTGCTACCATAGGGGTCCCAAGGAAGGGGCTCACTAAAACTTGGGTTGAGAAACCACTGGGCTCATGCGTTAACGCTGCAGCCACAGTCCACATCTGCTTCCTCTTGGCTACAGACCGTCAGGAAGGGGACGAAATGTAGGTTGCTCCAGACCTGACATTATCAGTTCCCTCCTCCACTGACAATCCTCCAAACCATAAATGATGTCAACTGGAAAACGTTCAGTGAGTAGATTCTCTGGAAGTCACTCTGTTCTCTGATAAGCGTGGCATTCAGAGATTCCAGCAGATTAATGTTTCCAAAGAGAGAATTTATTCTTCTAGGCTGCCAGACACAAGTACTTCTTACCACTCCAGACATAAATACTTTCTTCAGTCCTCAAATTGAGCCATGGAGAAGCCTAAAAAACCTCTCACGAGAGGTGGGGAGACTGGGGCAAGGAGCTATGGTTGGGCATTAGAGACTCAAACAAAAAGGTGCAGTTAAATTTAGAGGCCTCTGATGAGAAAGATAACAATTCACATTTGCAGAGAGTGCTTTCATCCAGGGAAAATCACAGCTGGAAGAGTAGATTGTCTGATCCAATTCTTCGATGCAAAGCAGAAAGGCACCCATACCTGCATGTGATGTGAAAGTAATATATTCCTACAACATAGCTGCCATGCTGGACATCGTTAAGCGCAAATGGGGTCTGCATCAGGCAACTAGCTTTGGGAGGAACGGAAACAGGCAACACCAGCTCCTCTGCCCTCCCAACAATGCAGATTGGCTTGACAATGGTGATATCCATAAATGCCATTCACACCAGAGCCAATGACTCATTCTTCCTAGCTCTACAGACAACAGAATAAGACGTCATGAATCCAAGAGAAACTGGTGGCTTTATAAAGATCTACCCCTCACTTATCCTGGTCTGTTCCGGATAGTCAAGGCCCAGATTCCAAAGAGAGTCAATGTAAGTCATAGAAAGCTACAGATTCCAACAACATGGAAAAGAGCACTAATTTATTAACAAAAATGGGAGTATTTCTCCCTTGTAAGCTTAGTATTTGTATAAATATTTGCAGGCAGTATAAAAAAATGCCACTCGGCAATATAGTTAAATTTACTTAACAAAGAACCTTTCAGCCCGAGTCTCAATTCCAGAATGTCTGCTGCTGACTTCTAAACACACCAGTTCCAGGAATGGGAGACGTGAATTTGGAGGATCCAACCCCAGAGCAAGGAGATAGAGTCATCATAGATCACAGAGGTCAAACCCATCAGGACTTGGGGCTTCAGTGGAAAAAGTGTGAGTACAATGTCAAGAATAAGGGGGGGGGGGAATCTACATTCCCTCCTAGTTTCTAGCTCATCCCCAGAGTGTCAGGTGGACTCTAGAGAGAGACTAAGGCTAGAAACTGTCCCAAGGACAGAGGGACCAAAGAGGAGAAAAGGTATTTCAAGTCAAAATGAAGAGATTCTGCCCTTCCATGGGCATTTCTTACAGAAATGTAAGAAAATGAGTATCTGGCCTGCTATTAACTAAGAGAAGCAGAGGTATTAACTACGGCTACTTAGGGTATTTCCTTTTCAGACCAGGCCACCTGGTGTTCCCAGAGATCCCCTTTTGCCATGCCAGACTAACTGCAGGGCACCGATCAGTTTCAGGAATACAGGGGGACAATGAGGTCTAGACTCACCTGTATTAGTCCCTGCAAACCTTCCCTTCGTTCTCCCATCATCTTTCTGTGTTTCATCTTCCTCACAGAGGTAAGGCTAATGAAACACCAGAGAAGTGTCATTGGGAGAAATGGCATCTGACTTCAGAACTACGATCAGTGCAGCGTCCAATTGTGACTTCAATGAAGAAACACGCCTCTCTTCCACTTGGAAGAGAAGTGGTGGGCCAGAAATGAGGAATGAAGCCTGACACTGACAACGTGCTGATTTGTTCTGCTTCAGAGTGGACCCTGATTTGTTGCAAGGGAGGGTTCTATGGTGGAAGTAACTCACTAGAAAATGCTAAAAAGATTATCAATTAAACATTTTTAAAGATTTTTTAAAAAACTGCCTGAAAAGTATCTAAGGTCCTATAACATGACCCTATGGAATAAAGTGACAAGTACTTAATATGTGCCAGGCTAGAGTGCTACCCACAAGGAGCTAGCGACCAAGTTTATACTCCACTATCCCCAGGCCAGTTCTGGGCTCCCGTCAATGCAGCCAGGATACAGAGAGAGACTTTGCCTGATACTGCTAAAAGAGCCAAAGCACGTGAAGTGATTATGTAGGAAGTTGACCCCTGAAAATCCGCCAACATCATGCTTGTACACTGTCAGAAATGTGCCTCCAGGGCCAACGGTTGGTCCAGAGACTCCCAGGTAGCCATAGAGGTGTAAGGAATGCACTGCTGTTTATGCCTCTCACCCCCGATAAAGTTTTAGGAGCCCCCTCGCTTGATGTGAAAGCAAAGAGCTCAGCCCCTGAAGGAGGGGCTCAGCCCACAAGCCCAGGCAGGCTTCCTCCTGAGTCACTCCCAGGTGGTGCCCCAGTCTTAGGCAGGCACACAGCACCTGGAAGAAGTACTGGCCAAATACCAGGCCACCCATGGGGGGAAAAGGGGCGGGGAGAGGGGGCAAAGAATGCATATGGCAAGATCCTGAAGCACCAACAATGGCTAGACTTGGTAGTCCAAGAAGAAGCCGGAGAAAAGAAATTTTTATGCCCTTAATTTACTCCTCCCTCTCCTTTTCCGGAAAAGGAGCAGAAAGGAATGAGAATTGGGAACTCCCAGACTCACATCCCTCCTTCAAGAAAAGGGCTGTACCTTTCTTTTTGTGCAAAGTAAAGACGTCAGGGGAAAGAGATTCTACAACTTGCCATGAAGTCAGACAATCTCTTAGAAATGCAGTTGCTCCCCAAATCTAATGCTAATCCCTTCCAAGGCAATCTAAGTCTGGTTTCTCTAGCCCTCTTCCTGAAGTCTCCCCATGGAGACCAGGTGGCCACTATCATATTGATGAGTGGCTTTTTCTCCCCCATAGAAATGGAAAAACACATTTTTAGTCTACTTCCAAACATGTACTCCACAGAAGGAACCATTCACTGAGACACTTTGGACACTGAATCAATTACTACCCAGCCTCAGGTCCTAGCCAAGACCCCTCTGGACTGGGGTCTTCTGTTTATACCAGCCACTGATATGTCCCTTCTGTGTGCTGATCAAAAGATTCCCATAGTTTTCCCATTTCTTCTTGACAATTCCCTCACAAGCCTCATCCTCCACATGGAGGAGACAGGAAGAAGCAGTGTTGTGCAGCGGAGAGAGCTAGTCTCGGGGTCAGGAAGACCTGTTTTCAAGTCCTGCCTTTGAAACATCCTGGCTCTGCACCCTGAGTAAGTCAGGTAGTCCTCACACACTCCTACGCATTGGTCACTGAATACGGAAAGTCTTTCTATCAGTGAAAAACAGAGGTCCAGACCCTAATCCTATGGAGGAGATAAGATCAGTCAGCTGAGTCACACCAGAGAAGGCCTTGTTCCACTGCTGACTTACTGTATGATCTTGGACAAATCCCTTCCATTCTCAGGTCCTCAGCCTTCCCTCCATTAAAATTCAATTTTTTTTTTTGGTGAGGCAATTGGGGTTAAGTGACTTGCCCCAAGTCACAAAGCTGGTGAGTGTTATGTATCTGAGGCCAGATTCGAACTCAGGTCCTCCTGACTCCAGGGCCGACGCTCTATACCCTGCACCACCTAGCTGCCCCAAAACTCAAAATTTTTAAAATGAATGCTAAATTTTTAAAAACATAATTGGGAAATATTTAATGAAGTTAGAGAGAGAGAGAGAGAGAGAGAGAGAGTCAACCCTCCTTGATCTCCCCATAACCTACAGTACTGCTGGCACTCTTTGGGAAACAGCTGGTAAGATTTCTAAGCACCAAGAGGTGTTAGGCATGCTTAGGATAAAACTCCAAAAAGCAATAACTTTCTAAGACAGTTCCAGATCATCCCCAGCAAGTAGGCCCAGTTCCAACAGAACACAGATGGAAGGGGGGTTGCTTCTCCATAGGGAGGAGGAAAGAGGCAAAAAATCTGGGGAGCAAGGCAAACGTGCAGCAGGGAGAGGTACCCTGACATCTATATTTCCTGAGTGGTTTGTAAAAAGGGTTTTCCTCACAACCAACCAGTCCATCAGTCACTTGACTAGCATCTATGAAGTATCTACTATGTGCAGGGCACTGTGCAACCCTGCAAGGTGGGAAAGGTAAGCATTCCTATCCCTATTTTACAGGTTAAGCAACTGAGCCGACTTTGAATGAGGAAAGGGCTACAGGCCTGGATCTTTGTGCTCCGCAGCCCTGACAACCACGTCCTCCCCTAGGTACATTCAGAACTAACCAATGACAGGAGGGACTTAGGTTAGCTACGAAGAAGATTTTGTAGGCAGTGACAGCTGTCATCAGCCAGATCCTGAAATGGGTTATTAAAAATAAGGCCTGTTAAAATAGAAACCACTCAAGTATCATCTTATTTGAGAGTAAGGAGGTGAACTCATAACCTGGTAAAAACTTCTAAGGGTTTATGATGTTTTAAGGATTTTATCAAAAGGATTTGAGGTTAACAGCCTCTGTGTGTTTAAGCATTTTTTTAAAATTACAAAAGATGGGGGATGATAAATAAACTACCTGTATAAACAGCTATCCTTTGATTTCCTCTAGCACCATCTAGAAAGAACTTCCATTTCAACATGGCTCTGGAGCCAGAGGACCCAGATGCAAATCTTACCTCTGATACCTGTATGACTCTTGGGAGTCAGCCTCCCTGGGCCTCAGTTCCCACATCTGTAAAATGTGGGCCTCTGAGGTCCCTTCTAGCTGTCAGTCGCAGATCCTTTCTCGCTATGGCTGCTGGCTTGGTCTGGATCTCCCATTCAAAAATCAACCCGGGCTCAGATGCAGAGCTAGAAAGGACCTCAAAGGTCATCTAATCCATTCTCCGAATTTTAGAGACGAGAACTCTGAGACCCAAGAGAGAACTGACTTGCTCAAAGTCCCCTATGGAGTCAGGATCTGAACCCAGGTCCTATGCCTTCCAAATACAACATAAATTCCACTGCCCACTTCAAAATAATGGGGATATAACCCAAAGGGCTCAGGAACATCCCATCCTGACTCATTTTCCAAAGAAACCGAATTAGAGGTCTAAGACCCCTTAGTCAAATAACCATAGACTTCTCTTAAAAGCTACTTTTACCAGCTTAGCACCTACATTTCCTGTTGTTCACAAGGAGGCTGGAAGAGGAAGTAGCAGCTAAAGTCAAATTTGTTTTTCATGCAATGAAGCGCAGACATCATGGAACATTTTCTCATGCAACTGGAGGTGATAAGAGCAGAAATGTGAAGGTCTCAGATGCCAAATAAAGACAAACCCCTGTTCTTCTACTAGAATATTTCATTCTTCTAACAGAATAGTCCTCCACTAATTCCCAGAATATCTGATCCCACACATCCTCCCTTCTTGAAGCCACCTGGCCTCCATCCCACCCTCCACTCACAAAACAGGACCCTAATTCAAAGTCAGCCCTCTCACCTGAATGGGGTTTGGAAAGTGAACAAACTCCTGCCTCAGAAGAACAGAGCAGACAGTCTTATGCAATAGGCTATAGTGAAAGCTGGCAGCTGGGTGGCACAGTGGATAGAGCACCAGCCCTAGATTCAGGAGGACCTGAGTTCAAATCTGGCCTCAGACACATAACACTTACTAGCTGTGTGACCCTGGGCAAGTCACTTAACCCCACTGACTAGCCAAAAAAAAAGGAAAAAAAAACCATAACAATCAAATCCTGACACAGATACTCACCAGCTGCATGACCCTGGGCAAGTCACCTGTTTACCTCAGTTTCCTCATCTGCAAAATAAGCTGGAGAAGGAATGGCAAACCACTCCAATATCTTTGCCAAAAAAAACCCAAATGGGGTCACAAAGAGTTTGATACAACTGAAATAACTGAACAATAGTAAAAGCTTTCCTATATATAAAAGTATTTACAGCAGCACTTTTTTGTAGTAGCAAAAAATTGGGAGGAAAATGGGTTCCCCACCAGTGGAGGTAATGGCTGAATAGACTGTGTCTGTGTGTGTGTGTGTGTGTGTGTGTGTGTGTGTGTGTGATTATGAAATAAACAGAATCCAGAGAAAATTTTACACAAGACCCACCATCATGGAAATAAAAACAACGGCGAAGTGAGAACAACACTCCAGAATTCTGAACCAATCAACCAAAGGGCAGTTGTTAAGTGCCTACTATGTGCCAGGCTCTGCAGCTACAAAACACTCCCCAGTCTGAAGGGCCACAGTGAAGGCTGTGAAGCCAACCTTTGACCTCTCGGCAGAAAGACTACAAGTGCTGACGGCCCATTTTCAGACGCGGCCAGTGGAGGTGGTATACTTGACTGTACATATTTGTTAGAGGACAAAGTGAAAGGTGTCTTGGAGGAAGGAGAGAGGGAATCACTGGGAAGAGACAATATTTTTTAAAACAGCACCAACAAAACTTTTTTAAAAGATGCTACCATGAGAAAAAAAAAAACCACTGGCCTCCCAACCCCCAACTTATTTATGTGACTTTGGCCACGCCAGACCTTCTAAGACTTTCACAATTTGCATTACCCCCCTCCCTGGGTTGTAGTGTCAGGCTCAAGGGAGAATATCCTCGAAATGTTTTGTATCCATACAACATTTCACTGTTGAAAGTCAAAACCTGTCAATGTTCTAAGTCAAAACCCATACATACCTTTTTCAACCTACGCTTCCATTTACTCCACTACAATCCTTCATGGGGGTCTACCCAATGTCCTAAGGACCTTCTTGTGACACTCCTCTTAACACTGTATAGATATTATGAAAGACACAGGTTATTCTGCCATTACCTCTTCTTCTCACTATGATCACTGGTATACCTTCTTCTCTTATTTTCTATCTTCTCTCTGCTGAGA